GATGAAGTTCTGGTTGCTGGATTTGGTCAAAAAGGTCATGCCGTTGGTGACATTCCTGGAGTCTGTTTTAAGGTGGTTAAAGTAGCCAATGTCTCTCTCTTGGCTCTCTACAAAGGCAAAAGAAGGAAAGACCAAGATCATAAATTTTGATGATGAAAAGACATTAGTAAGAAATTTTCATATTTCAAAAAAAAAAAAAAAAGAAACAGAAACAGGAACAGAACAGCTGGACATGGTGGTGCACACCTGTAATCCCAGCACTCGGGAGGCTGAGGCAGGAGGATCATTGAAAGTTCAAGGCCAGCCTGGGCTTCATAGTGAGGTCAAAACTAGCCTGAACTAAGAGAGAGACCCTGTCTCAAAAAACAAAAACAAAAACAACAACAACAACAACAACAAAAACCCCCAAAAGCAGAACAAAACAACAACAAAAAACTAGAAACAATGTTTACACTCATATGAAAACAAGAACAAACAAGCAAGAAAAAGGGAAGGAAAAAACAGAGAAATGAGGAACAAAATAAGTCCACTTCAGGGTGTGTCTCTGCTGTCTCTGGAAGGCAAACGGGGCAGACAGTGCCGAGATCCATGTTGACTGATCCCAGCAAGCCAGCAGTGGAATTACAGTGGGGTGGTGGCTAATACCAGCAAGCCAATGCCTTCAGCTCCACTTAAGTTCAGACTGGTTCTGGTTTCTGGCTGTGAGACTGATACCTGAGTTATTCAGCCTGCAAAACTCTGGGTGCATCCTGCTGGCTTGAAATTATCTCCCTGACCTTGGGTGTCTCCTAGAGCTGTGCCTCACCCTGACACTGGGAGCTACTAGATGGAGCCAACCTGCAGCTGCTCTGAGTTCTGAGTTCAATTGGCTCCTTTCAAAAGTGAGGACTGGCCAATTGCCCTCTCGGGTGTACGAAAACTGGGCTGGAATGAAATCACTGCAGTCTGCAGTGTCCACTGCTCTGTTCCACTGGTGTGTTTCTCTGTGGAGGCCTCTGGAGCCAATAGTAGTCACTGTGTCTCTCCAGGTTTGAGCCATCCTTCCCACACCATGAGCTGGGGCTAGGGTAGAAAGTACTGCTTGCCACCTTCCTCTTCTGTGTTGAGGTCCCTCTCTTTGCTCTGCCATGGGCTCCAATTCTTGCTTCAGATTCTTGCTGGGTCCTGGGGACCCTCTTCCCTTCTCTTCTTTGTGTTGCTATATTCCAGCATCTGGACTCCAAATTTCAGAGAGGCTATTTCTCTGCTGGTCACCACTCTGCCATCTTCCCAGAAGTCTCTCTACTCTTTGCTTCTATGTGAACTTGCTCATATTTTTTTTTTTTTTTTTTTTTTTTTGCTACCAAGGATCAAACTCAGGACCTTGTGCTTGTGAGTCAGGCATAGCACTACTGAGCTAAATCCCCGGCTCTGACATTCTTATTTCATTATTGTTTGAAGTTGTCTGTCTATGCCAGCAACTCTATTCTGCTAGATGTCAAGTATATTGGCTTGTTCTCATTTCAGCTGCTGGAGCCTCTCTCATCTTGTCCAGTTCCTTTGGGATTCAGATGTGGGGTTGAGAGCTCTATGCCCTGGTAGTTTTCCTAATGATGGAGAAAGATGGAGCCTCCATTCCAGTCAGTCCACATAGGTACCAGGCAGGTGTGCGTGTGCACCAGGCAGGTGTGCGTAGGTGTCCCCCTGCTTCCCAATATCTTCATTTTCTCCTAGACTCAGAAGCAGGAATCCTCTTGGGGTTCTTGGGGGCCAGAGGGGAAGCATGCACACACACACACACACACACACACACACACACACACACACACACAGAGGTGATGGTCACTTTACTTTAGGAGCTCCATGGTTCCCTGTAGCCAGCCCAGACCACTCTTCAGTTCATCTTAAGACTACCCTCCTGGTACAGGGGCAGATATTTAAAACTTGTCTTCCCTTCATAGACTCCCACTCAGGTGCCACGGGGCTCAGCAGACTCGATTCACATTAGCAGATATCTCAGGGGAGGGAGCAGAGGGGAGCTGACTCATGTTCAGTTGGCCATTATTTCTCTCTGTCTCTGTTCCTCTCCCTTCTCCTCTTCCTTTTCCTCCTCCTCCTCCTCTTCTTCTCCTCCTCCCCTGCCTCGTCCCCTTTCCCTCCCTCCCCTCCTCCTCCCTCCCTTCCATCCTCTTCCTCCTCGTCCTCCTCTTCTTCCTCTTTCTCTTCCTTTGTCTTCATACTAGGGATTGACCTCAGGATTGAACTTCATACTGAGCTGCATCTCCAGTCTTTTTCTTTTTTTATTTTGAGACAGGGTCTCACTAAAGTCACTGAATTGCTCAGTCTGAGTTTGAATTTTTGATCCTCCCGCCTTAGCTTCCAGAGTGCTGAGATGACAGACATGCCACCATCACACCTGGTTTCATTTTTCTTTCTTTAGCATAGGGGCCAGCAAACTATATTTCAGGGAGCCAAAAATTCCCTGCAGCCTGTTTTTGATGGTAATTCAGCTAGAAATGATTTTTATGCTTCTAAAGGGATATGTACAAAATCTCTTTACACACAGTCAGCCCTCCCTCCATACCCACAGGTTCTGAATCTGTGGATTTACCATTTGCAGATAAAAGATATTTGGAAAAAAAGCTAAATATGTACTGAACATGTATGGATTTTTAAATATAATCTTTTCTCCTAAACAGTACAACTATTTACATAGCATTTGCATTGCATTGGGAATTATAAATAATCTAGAGATGCTTTAAAATATAAGCGAGGCTGCATGAAGGTTCTATGTGATAATACTCCATTTTATGTAAGAGATTTGAGCATATGTGAATTTTGATATTTGTAGGAACTATTGGAACCAATCCCCTGCGGGATTGAGGCTTGACTGTAATCCCATATATCATATATGCTTGTGTGTATATTCTGAAAAGTCTAAAATACTCACCTTTACAGAAGATGATGGCTGACCCTCTATAGAATATTTAAATATCTCCATGAGAGAGGTGTGAGATGGAGCATAGAAATGATATAATCAATGGAGGAAGGTCTCCAAAGCGGTAGGCGGGATGGGATGGGAAGCACAGAGGAAAGAGTTAATCTTAAATAAGAAGAAGGACTTTTCTATGCTCATGGGAGAATGGACTGGGAGGTAAGAGCAGTGATGAAAAGAAGAACGGACAGGTATGGGTGTGTATATACTTGTAAGGAAGGCCAGGAAGACAAAGAGGCTGGGAAGAATCAGAAATCTGGTGCTTATGATCTCTGAAGCAGTAGACAGTTTTCTGCTGTCTCTAAAGGAAAAGAAGTTGAGGATTGAGGAAAGGTGTGGAAAACTGGAAGTCTTCATGTGAAAAAGCTGACTAGGGATAGGAAAAGAGAGTTTCAAGTAGCAGAGGATCTTATTTAGGTCAGAAATAAGAAAAAAAATGATCATGGCTCCTGCATAAGTGATTTTGGATCTCATTGTCTTGACGAAGGAGTGGAGAAGAGACACAGTTGGTTTCTAAGGAAGGGTGCTTTGGGTTGCAAGGAACAGATTACCTGACCTTAAGTAGATTAACTGCAAGGGTTTATTCCACAGGCAAAAGTCCAAGTGTTGGTTTGGTGACTGAATAGTATCATAGAAACCTGTATTATTCCTGTATTTTCACCTTCCATCCTTAGTATTTCCATGTTACCTTTTTAACAAGCATCACATTGGTGTAGGATAATAGCCCAGTCTAGGAAGTAATGGTTAGGCTTTCCTTGAGATTGGTTTTTGTTCTTTTTGCTTTTGAAGTGCTGGGGATTGAACCCAGGGCCTTGTACATGTTTTACCACTGAGCTACATCCATTAGCCCTGTCTTTGTTCTTATCAAGGAAAAAAAATTATTGGATAGAGGTGGTCCAAATGCCCACTTCAAAGTGAACCCTAGAAAAGGAGGAGAGCATCAGAGTCAGCTAAGACCAGGGTTCCTCATCTTCATCACTACTGACATTTGTCTTCACAGACACACCCAGAAGTGTGCTTTACCAACTTTCTAGACATTTCTCAATCCAGTCAACTGCAAAACCAAGATTAAGCATCACATGAAACAAGGAACCAAAGGTATTGAAAGTGTAGGAGAGGAGAACAAGTGTGTGGTGCATGCCTGTAATTTCAGCACTCTGGGAGGCTGAGGCAGGAGGATCACAAGTTTGAGACAATCCTGGAGAATTTAGCATGAACTTGTCTTAAAATAAAAAGGGCTGGAGGGCTGGGGATTTAGCTCAGCCGTGCTGCCACCTGCCTTGCAAGAGCAAGATCCTGAGTTCAATCCCTGGTACCAAAGAAAGAAAAAATAAATAAAATTAAATTAAAAAAAATAAAAAAATAGAAAGGGCTGGAGATTTAGCTCAGTGCAAGGCCATGGGATCCATCCTCAGTACCAGGAAAAAAAGATAAGAAAGAGAGAAAGAAAGAAAGAAAGAAAGAAAGAAAGAAAGAAAGAAAGAAAGAAAGAAAGAATAGAAGAGGATTATTTGACTTATTCTGAAGGAGAAAGGAGGTAAATCTGGATGGTTTGGGAGAAGCTGGTGGTTTGAGGAACTGGATGAGCTTACAGAGCAAGTTTAGGGTGAGTGAGACTAAGAACTAGAGGAAAGGCCTGAAGGGATCTCCTTCTTTATCTGCAAAAAGTGGAGGAAGTATTTGCAACATCCATGATTTGCTTACTCACAGATGAGCCTTGGCTGAATGCATGTTACAAAGATAAACCCCATGCAGCACACACTTATTTTATTTTAATTTTTTTGTTTAAAATTTTTATTAATCATGTTTGTAGTTAAAATGATTCCACTCTTTATGGGGAGTTGGTACATGTGCATAACACATCTCAATTCTTTTTTCAACACATAGTTATTGAAAAAATTATGCAAAGCAACCACTTTGGGAAGTAAAGGTTAAATATTTCCTTTCCTGAAATATACAACAAATCTCCTTGTCCTCAGCTTCATTTCTTCATGATATCGGAAAGATCCACAGGCATGATTTTTTCCATACAGAGTTGAGTGTTCTAGTTGTAATATTTTTCCTTCACTTGTTCTGAAAAAAAAATTCCCCACAAAATATCTTTAGATTAATGGTGGATTTGGGAAAAAACAAAACAAAACAGACAGACAACATGAACAAAGAGTAGGGGTGAGGTAAATCCAGCTCCAGCCACCAGGCAGGGATGGCATGATCTAGAATTTTAGAATCCTTGGGTGGTATGGTTTTCTTTAGCTTACAGTAGAAGTACTTCTCAAAAATTTGGGATGAAGAATTCATTTGATAAATATTCAGTTATCATATCTGATATGTTTGAACGTCTGACCCCAGAGTTTATATATTGAGAATGTGATTCCCAAAGACATGTTATTTTTTGTTTGTCTGTTTTGTATTTTTGGCTTTTTGAGACACGGTCTCGCTCTGTAATTCAGGCTATCCTTAAACTCACTATGTAGCCCAGGCTGGCCTCAAACCTGCACCAATCCTCCTGCCTCAACTTCCCAAGTGCTGGGATTACAGGTGTGTGCCACCACCCCCAGGTAAAGAAATGTTTTAATGGGACTTGAAGGTAGAACCTTTGGGAGGTGACTGGGTCCTGTGGTTCTCTGCTTTCATGAATGGATTACTGGGCTGTCAAGAGAGTGGTTTTGTTCATAAAAGCAGTCTTGCTTTAGTGTGCTTATTCTGTCTCTCCATTTGATGTCACGTGCGTCCTCAGGACTCTGAGGAGAATCCCCACCACCAGAAGTTTCCCACCAGACCTGACTTTGGACTTCCCAGCCTTCTGAACTGTAAGAAGTAAATTCCTTTTCTTTATAAATGACGTATAAGTATTTTGTTAGAGTAACAGAAAAGAAACACAGACACTATTCTATTTCAGATATCAATCCCAGGGATGTTGGTTTTTGTCTGTGAAGAAAAGCTATCCTCTAATCTCATGTGTTGGTCTTGATCCTTTTTGTATGTCAATTGCCTAGCATAACGCCTGACACATTGTAGAATTTAACAAATATTCTCTTCTCCCTCCATGAGTTACAGCTCAGTGTAAAATTCTCAAGTTCCATGGAGGAACCAATATCTTCAGTAGCAGCCCATGAGGATAGGACATTGTAGGCTAGAATACAAAGAAGTATTGCATGCTAGGAGTCCAAAGTTATGTCTTCCTTCCTGGTACGTATGCTGCATTCACAGACTTCTCTCCTGACGTGCAATTTACCCGCTAATCAGGTCTTTTCCCTTAAGGAATGTGACTGGTCTTCCTACTCTAACAAGTTTCTGGAGGACAAAGCTAGAGATTTAAATGTTAAATTTGTCCATAGAGAAGGAGAAAGAACTTCATTCACGTTTTACTCACGGTCCTGTGCCTAGAAGAATAAAATCATGAGACTCTTTTAATTGAAGATGATGAATTTCTTTAAAAAATTGAAAATTAATTTGTATATACTTGAAGCATACAACATTAAGTTCTAGGATACATATAGATAGTAAAATGGTTACTGTATGAGGTAAGTAAACATCACCTCATGGTTATTTTTCTTAAAAATCTTTTTTTAGTTATTTTTCTTCTGACAAGAACAAAAGCTGATATATTGTTTTGGTATTTTATATTATTCACTTATTTATTGTATTTACGTATAGTAGGATATAATACAAAGATATTATAACAAATAGCTGAGACCATGAGCTCCTGTAAGGAAAGGTTTGTTTTGGTTCCCACTTTTGGAGGTTTCAGTCCATGATAGGGTGGTCATGTTGCTTCTGGGCCCACAGTTAAGGAGTGTGTAGTAGGGCAAAGCCATTAACCTCATGGCTAGGATGTGAAAGATGGAAAGGAGGGGCTGGGATCCCAACCTCTCCTTCAAGAGCCACTCCCTTAAAGACTTTGAGGTTTCTCATTAGTTTTAAATGTTTCCCCACCATGGGCTGGACCTGGCCTTCAACACGTGGCCCATGGGTCTCTGCTGAGAGCCTTGGCCATGGGTCTTGATCTCCTGCAAAGCAATAAGACACAAGCTAAAAAGAACGTAGACAAAGAAACAAGACTTAAAGAGAAAGCTGGGTCTTGGCTGGTCCAAGCTGCTCTGGGCAACAAAGACAAAAGGCACCAAAAATATCCAGTATAGGGCTGGGGATTTAGCTCAGTGGTTTCGCCGCCTGCCATGCGAGCACAAGGACCTGAGTTCGATCCCTGGTACTAAAAAAAAAAAAAAAAAAAAAAAAAAAAAAAAATCAAGTATTTATTGATTACAAGCGTGGGAAGAAGAAGAATAGGGTATGCTTTGAGACATCTGGTAATAGAGTGCGAAGCATCTGGCGATAGTAGATATTGCAGGCAGGGCTGTAAAAGGGAGGCACTGCTTATCTTGCTGGAGAGAATAAACAGGGACCAGGAATGGGTCATAATTAACCAGCAACCCATCAGGTCAGTAAGGGAAGCCACAATTCAGGGGAAAAGAATTAAATTGGGGTCAAGCTGACCTCAGCCGGAAGTTAACTCAGCAGGGCCCTGCCACGTCACAGGCCAGGTTTTAGGTCTCCACGGCAGCCACTGGTGGAGGAGCTATGCTCACCCCACTCTGTCATCTGACATGCCCTTTTGAGTCATGTAAGGCTTTGGTCTGAATCCTAATATAGTACAGACAAATTATTGGGAAGCAAAAAGCTTGTGTCACTTATAGCCTGCTAGTACTGAGGAGGGATTCTGTTCCACTTAGCCACAGCATAGCATTCTCTAGCCTCCATTCAATAAAGGATAGATGTTTTCTTAGGTACCTCAATATTTCTGCTGCCAAAAAGAATTATATATTACCTCAAAAAATTTGAAGACAATTTATCAGAAAAATTTCAACATACTTTAATTTGAAAACAACATACTCAAAGGCTCTTTGGTGTATTGATATAGTGGGTGTTCATTTGGAAGAGGGAGGAAGAGATAGGAAGAGGGGTTTGTAAATTTAAAGCTTGGAAGCCTATTTTGTTCATCTAGAGATATATCTTCTTAGAGGCATATTCATTCATAATTTCTCTAAAACAACAAAGAAGGGGCAAATATTGAGGGAAATGTCAGACAGTGCCTGCTACGGTTTGGATTTTATTTTATTTTTTTTCAGTTTGGATTTTAAATGTTCCCCAAGGTCATGTGTTGAAGGCTTGGTCACTAGTGTGTAGTGTTGTTTGGAGGAGGTGGAACCTTTAGGAGGTGGGGCATCCTAGGAAGAAGTGAGGCCATTAGGGGGTGTGGCCTTCAAGGAGACATTAGAACCCCACCCCCTTCCTGTCTCTCTCTTTGCTTCTCAGCTGCCAGGAGGTGGGTGAGCAACTTCATTCTACAATGCACTTCCTGGCTTGATGTTCTGCCTCATCACAAGCCCAGAGCAACAGCCAAGAAACCATAGATTGAAGCTTCTGAAACCATGAACCAAAATAAACTTCCTCTTCATGAGTTGATTTTCTCAGGTATTTTGTCACAGTGATGGAAAGCTGATTAACACAGAATTCTTCTTCATCCCCCCCTGCAAATGGAGCTTGTAGTAGGACAAGGAAAGGAAGTTAGGGATGTTGAACAAGGTGGTCCTGAGAATAAGTCACAGGTTCTCATACCTCAGTGGTTCTTGAGTCAGGGCCAGAACTGCTAAAAAGTGTATATTGCTCAAATTCAGATTTTGATTTTGTAATATCCTTAAGCCATTTTTGGTATTGTTTTCTGACCTGAAACATCAAAGAAATATAGCATGGTTTCATTAATATTGGCAAAGAGGAGAAAAGTTATTGAGTTAGTAAGAGGATATTTATTATATAAAAAGCCTTTTTAAATATTATTCAGCCTTAAAAAGCAAGGAAATTCTGACACGTGCTATAATATGAATGGACCTTGAAGACATTATGCCAGGTGAAACAAGTCAAACACAAGAGACAAAAATTGTATGGTTCCACCTACTTGAGGTACCTAGAATAGTCAAATTAATTGAGAAAAAAATAGAATGATGGTTTCTAGGAGCTTGGTAGGTGGGTACAGGGAATTGCTATTGAATAGATATAGAGCTTTTGTTTGGGTTGATGAGAAAGTTCTGAGAGCAAGAGTGATTTGTGTTTCTTCTGGTTGCTGGACTGTGCTTATTTGGATCTAACTTAGACCACGTGAATCTTAGCTTCACAGGTGTTTCAGGCTATATCTATTCTACAGACAAGGTATCATTTAAGCCTAAGGAAAGGTATATCAACATCATTCAATGGTATGCAGCAGATTTGCATCTTGTTTGGGGGTTCAGTTCTAGGACCAGTATGCAATCCAAATGATCCCCAAGCACCCCTTTGTAAGTCACCAACTTAGAGGATTATTTCATTAAGACTAAAGCAGCCAAAGCTGGGGATTTAGCTCAGTGGTTCTGGTGCCTCCCTCGCAAGCACAAGGTCCTAAGTTCGATCCCCGGTACCAAAAAAAAAAAAAGACTAAAGTAGCCAGTATGTTGTGATTGTTGGACACCATTTCTTTCTTTCTTTTTTTTGTACCAGGGATCGAACTCAGGTCCTTGCAGTTTCAAGGCAGGTGGTGGAACCACTGAGCTAAATCCCCAGCCCTGGACACCATTTCTTCTGTTCAGCTGCAGATAAATGAATTGGCTTGAATTTAGTAGCCATATTGAATATAAATACATATGCTAAAAACTGTATGTTAGGGAATTGAGGGTTTAACTCAGTGGCAGAGTACTTGCTTAGCATGCACAAGACCTGGGATCTGATTCCCTAGCACTGCAAGCCAAATCAAACCAAACCTGGATGCGCAAACTATGAGATGCCTCCAGAACTGAGGTGAAGTAGAGGGAGAATAGATGAGCCTTTTGCATTGTATTCACTCTGGGGTGTACCCCTTCTGAGAAGAGTTGCCTACAGTTTTCTTTGGCAATACTTGTAAGTCACATTTGCTTGTAATGAGATGGGTGAACAGATGGATAGAAGGATAAATATGAGACAAAGCAAGTGTAGCACAATGTTAACTATAGGATCAGCATGATTGGTATATATGTGACTATTGTATAAACCTTTAACCCTTTTGGATGTTTGAAAACATTCATAATTTCATTATAGAACATTTTTTGAGATATTTCACTTTATTTTTTGTATGAAAACTTCAAAATTTGATGTTTATTTTACAGTTTGAAATCTTGACTTGGACTAGTGTCAGAGGACTAAATCACAACAATTTAGATTAAATATATTAATTGGCTTTATTTTTTGTCCTAGAATTCATAAAATAGAATAAATGTTGTCTATAGAACTCTTAAAATATATTAGTCCAGAGATTATACTACATTTTTTTCTTTAGCCTTTCTACTTATAATAGCTAATGCTGTGTAACAAACAATTTCAAAAGTATTATGGCTCAGATATAACTATTTTCTTGTTCTCAAGTCTTCAGGTCTGTGGGGCTTAAGTTCAACTTTACTAGGGTCTATTTGATTAAATTGAAGAATTCATGCTAAGTGGTGTGGTAGCTTGGATTATTGGTTTTCATCATTTACTGGCCTATAGAAGAGTTACACCATGCCTTAGCCTCACGGTGGGTGGGCGTGTTCTTACCCCATTGGCTTTGGGCTTGGACATCTGACCTGTTTTGTCCAATGGGACATCAGTGGAAATGATGTAAGCAGATTTAAAGGTTTGATGCCTTTGCCCAATAGGATTTGGCTCTTTATAACTTTGCCATTGTTATGAGAGGAGCATACACTAGAGAACTGCTCCTGCTTCTGCCTATTTTCCACTCATCTCGAGAAATCACAAGGAGAACACCTGAATTTGATCTGCGTCCTGAAGCTGAGGTGAGCCCAGCCAAGATCAGCTGAACCTCAACCTACCCACAGACCCAAGAATGAGAAAAGGAAGTATTTGTGTTTAAGCCACTGAGATTTTGATGTTGCCCCTTACACAGCATTAGCTGCCTTTATAGCTGGAAAGTCAAAGAAAGACATATTTCATTGATGTAGTAATTATCTACTTTCTGAAAGCTGTTAATAATTTTTTTCTGTTTTGGCTTTTGAGACAGGGTCTCATTCTGTAGTTCAGGCTGGCCTCGAACTCATGGTGATCCTCCTGCCTCAGCCTCCCTAGTGCTGGGATTACAGATGTGCACCACCATGCCCAGCAAGCTGTTAATAAATGTCTTATAAGCAAGGGTATCTTTGTTTTTTTTCTTTAATTAAAATTTTTTTTATTGGTTCATGTTTGTAGTACATAATGATTATATTTGTTGTGGAGGAATGGGTGCATGGACACAACACATCCTGTCCTTTTTCATCCCATTCCCCTTCCCTCCCTCTATCTCTTGGTCTCCTTCCCTTTTGCAGAAGATTTACCTCCCTATTTTCTATTATTTATTCCTTATTTTCTTCCTCATATTTTGAGTTTTTTACATAAGAGAAACCATGTGATATTTAAGCTTGTATGTCTGATTTATTTCATTAACCCTGTGGTTTCAAGGTGCACCCATTTTCCTACAAATGACTTAAGTTTATGGAATCACTATGGAGATTCCTCAAAAGACCAAAAATAGAAATTCCATTTGATCTAGCTATTGTCCTTGTAGGTATCTTCCTGAAAGAGTTAAAGACATGATATTACAGTGATACACACATACCCAAGTTGATAGCGGCACAATTCATAATAGATAAATTTTGGAAGAGGCCTATTATGTTCATCAACAGATGAATGGATAAAGAAAATTCACTATTTATAAAAAATGGAGTACTACTCTGCCATAAAGAAGCCTTTTTCTTTTCTTAACAGCTTCTCTAAGATATAATTCATATATTAAACAACTCATCCATTTAAAATGTACAATTCAATTGTTCAGCATTCACCTTAATCAATTTTAGAATATTTTCATAATCCAATAAAAAACTCTGTAACCATCAATATAACCAACCAATTTCCTGTAGCTCACCTATCTTCTTTCCTGCACCCTTCAGGCCCAGCAATAACTTATTGACTGTGTCTTTGGCTGTCTTTTTTTCTGAGACAGTGTCTTGCTATGTAGTCCAGGCTGGCCTTGAACTTGTGACGATCCTCCCACTTCAGCCTTCCAAGTGCCAGGATTATAGGCATGTGCCACAATGCCCATCCGCCTTCCTTTGTATTTATTTAAGTTTTATTTACATGTAATTCACATACCATAAAATCCACCCTTTTAAAGTGCACAATTCAGTCATTTTTAGTAATATATTCACAATGTTGTGCAACCAGTCCCACACTTGATTCTAGAACTTTTTCATAATCCCTAAAAGAAACTTCAGATCCATTCCCTGGGAATCACTTTCCATCTCCCTCTCCACTGGACCAAAGTAACAACTAATCTATTTTCTATCTCTATGGATATGCCTTCAATATCATCTTAAGGCAGAAAAAAATTCAGGGAGTATTTGTACACTGACTACAAACTCATGAAAATTTAAAGATGCAGACTTAAATGTTTACCTGACTATGTGCTTCTGATTTTTCTCAAGTTTGAATTCACAAAGGAAGGGGTTCAGTGCTCACCTGCTGGCTGAGAAGGCAGTAGACCAGGAACATGAAGAAGCCCTGGAAGCAGTTGACAATGGTGAAGAGGTAGGCCATGACCAGGGCGGCTGGACCTACCTGCAGGAAGCCCAGAAACCACGTGCAGCCCAGGATGAAGAGCTGAGCTGTTGCTCTGAGTGTCAGCATCCTGTGAGGGGTCAGAGATGATGACCTTGGTAGTGGATATGGACACATATCCTGTCACAGCAGCTTAGTCTGTATTCTACCCATAAAAGTTTTCATTAATTGATACATTTACCCTTTTTGGCACTGGAGATTGAACTCAGGGCCCTGTGCATGCTAGGCAAGCTCTCTATCATAGAGCTACATCCCTAGTCCTTAATTGTGACCTTGGAAGACTATAATGGCCTTCTCATCCCTGGAACATGTATGCAGTGTCTCTCTGCATATGGATACATGGGGATGAATGAGGGGTGGGTAGAGGAAAAGGATCCAGAAGCACCATCTGCCACATCTTACCTTGTGTTCTGGATGGTTGATACTTCACTATTGAGAGAGGAAAGCTTCCTTCTCAGAATACAAAGGACTAAGACAAAAAATACTGAATTCACCTGCAGGAGCAACACAAGCAAAGCAAAGTGTACCTTAGTGTATGATGTCCACTTTGAGTTGCACACAAGTCCTACCTCACTGCACATGGGACTTTTTTGGTTGCTGGTAGAAAATCAAAACACATGATTGAGAATATGCATGCCCCTGTGCTATCTTCTACTCAGCATTTCTGGTGGCCATTCCTCTGAAGGAACATGTAAGGCCCATACTCACACAGACAATGGCACAGACAGGGCCAAGGAAACCCCAGGTGAATCCCTGGTCCAGCGAGAGCCAGCAGCTGAGAACAATGAAAAAAAGTGACACAAAGGGAGATCAGAGAAGCATGTGACATGAACACAAAGGGACACTTTTCCTGTCAGATAACCTTTCCAATTTCCTCTGAAAGTCAGCTGATGACAATCACAGCTTTGTTTGTTCATGATTACATGTTAGTGTTACATTAAACATTTTGTGAGCATAGTCCTGTTGAATTTACAGAACTGGGGCAATATCATTGTCCTCATTTCACTAGTGAGGGACTGAGTCTTAAGGACTGGAGGCCCCAAATCATGAGAGGGATAAATTGACAGTTAGCTGCAAAACTTTGTCCTTCCAAAACCTTCTGAACCTTCAAAACCATCATCTTAACCTGTCTTCCTGGAAAATGGATTAAAGCCATTATAATGGAGAATGTTTATTGGATACTTATATTTCAGTCATCATCATTCATACTGTGTCTTAGTTTCTCTTTGGTGGACACTCACATCTGACACCCACAGCTTAAAGGAGGAGAGATTTATTTATTTAAAAAATTTTTATTTTCTTGTACCGGGGATTGAACGCAGGACCTTGCGCTTGCAAGGCAGGCACGGTGCCACTGAGCTAAATCCTCAGCCCAGTAGAGGTTTATTTTAGCTCAGGGTTTGAGATAATTCAGCCCATAGTTGGCTGGCTCCAGGCAGGAAGGGAGTGGTGGAAAGGCTTGGGTGGAGAGGAGCTGCTCTCAGCATGGTGGTCAGGAAGCAGAGAGAGAAAGAAGGAGCCAGGGAGGGAGATGGACCCTTCCAGGTCACACCCTCAGTGACCACTTCTTTGGACCAGGCCCTGCCTCCTAAGAGCACATACAGCCATGGACTCACCACTAGATTAAGCCACTGATGAGTATGGTGTCCCCATGGTCCAATCACATTCCCAAACCCCCACCTTTTTGGGGACATTATAGGCAGAAATCATAACACACTGCCCCCACAAAGCCTTCTTAGAAAACTGTCCATGGCACAGGGTGAGAGTCAAGCTCACTGATCAGGCAATCCATACAGGTGAGGCCTGCATGCTGCAGAAATGGCCACAATGACAGCAGGAATGCCATAGCCTACAGGGAACACGAACCACTTCATGAATTTATTTATATTGGAGTAATTGACCACTGTGAGGTTGCGTGCAGTGAGGAAGAGGTGCAGCCCCTCCAGCAGCATCCAGATGAAGGTGGCCAGGTAGAGGTAGTGCAAGGTGCCAGCGATGATGGCGCATAGCACCTGGGAGAGAAAGGGATTTCAAGGTGGAGGTTGGTCCAGGACCTGTCTTTTACGCTGGCAGGTCACCTGACATTCTATCAAGAGCATGAAGAGTAAGTAAAGGTGATTGATGGTCAAGGTTGGCACTGGTCACCTGCACACCAACCCTTACAACCTGCCCTGAGACAGGAAGAAGGTAGGCAGAACATGGCATCCCAAACATGCCACTTTCCAGTAAGTGACCAGAATGTATTCCTGCTATCTAACTGGAACTTTACACGCTTTGCCCGACACATGTCTCCATATGGCCTGACCTCCTCCTCTCTTCCTACCCTCAGCCTCTGGTAAGTACCATTCTACTTTCTATTTGTACTGCACAGAATTTACACATTCATACATTTTTTGTGGTGATAACACTTAAAATGTATTCCCTTAGCAATTTTCAGTAATACTTTATATTGTTCTTAGCTGTGGTTACCATTTTGTATAATAGATTTTTGTCTAACTGAAAATTTGTATCCTTTGACCAAGGTGACTATTATTAAATGCATGTTTCTTTTCTTTTCCTTTTATTCTCCTCCCCTCTCCTTCCCATTCTCTTTCTCTTTTCTTCTTTCCTCCTTTTCTTTCCTAAGGGTGCTAAAAGTAAAAGAAAATTAAGAGAAAACAAAAATTTGTATCCTTGACCAAGGTGACTATAGTTAATAATAATGTATTATATGTTTTTATTTTCCCTCTGTCCCACCTTCCGCTCCTCTGTCCGTACCTCCTTTTCCCTTCCTTCTTCCCCTCTTTCCTTTCTTCCTTCTTCTTCCCTCATTTCCCTCCTCTCCCTCCTTTCATATTCTTATCTGCCCACCTGCCTGTCTGCCTGTAGAGCTGGGGATGAAACCTAGGCCCTCATGCATGCCAAGCAAGGGCTCGGCCACTGAGCTGCACCCCAGTTCCCTGAAGACACACCAAAGGAATGTATAAGACTTACTGAGCAGCCTTTATCTGTCATTCACTTCCCATATATTTGCATTCCCGTAATCTGCTGCCCTAAAGACTCAAAGTTCTTTTCTTTTGTATTATTACTTCTCTGAAACTTTATTGTCACTGCTGAAAATGCTATCTGAACCAGAGCTCTCAGCAGCAATTTGAGAAGACTCCTTGGGCATCTCCCACATGTGTATGAAATATCTACATTAATAAACTTTGGTTTGATTTTCTGGTTAATTTCTCATTTGTTACTGGAGTCTCAGCTAAGATCTCAGAAGGATAGAGGGAAAATTATGTTTGTCTCCCCTACAAACCCAAGGCAAGTTTATGAATGAACTGACAGCCGTGTGGCTCCACAGCCCAGCATCCCCTGGAGCAGGGCAGGGTCCTTGGGACACCATCAGTACCTTGGGTTCGGTTTGGTCGATGGCTGTGAGAAAGAGGAGGTGAGCCAGGAAGAGGCAGAGCGAGAGCTGCAGGTGGATGGAGCTGCTGGTGTTCTGGATGGCTTTGCACAGGAGGAAGGTGAGGACTGCCAGCAAGAGGCACAGCAGAGAGAAGCCCAACCCCATGTAGGTGATGATGCTCAGCATTGGATCCTCCTCCTGAGGCCCAGAAAAAGATGAATTTATAATCATGCTTTCCTGATCTGAGCTTCTGGTTCCCCTGTACCAGGGAGTCCCAAACACATGAAGCCCGATGATAGAAATGTGGGAAGTGTCTACCAGACAGTCAGACAATCTTTTCTGTTTGCAGCTGTATTGAGATATAATGAATGTACAGAGTGGCACATATTTAATATAGACAACTGGATGCATTGGAGCACATGTGTATGAAGGGAGACAGAAGGCGTCACTCTGAAATGTGGCACTTTAGCACAAGGTTTTGTTTTTTTTGAGTCATAAGCATTCAAAAAACCCTCAAAAACAACATGTCCCCTAAACTTGATGGTCCGTGGTTGTAATCCCAGCACTCTGGGAGCCTGAGACAGGAGGAACACAAGTTCAAGGCCAGCCAGGGCAACTTAGTGAGACTCCACCTCAAAGTTAAAAAAAAAAAAAAGGTATAGCCCTGGGTTCAATCCCCAGTACAAAAGAAAAAAAAAAAAAAGGAAAGAAAGGAATAAGGAATGCCGGGGGAGAGTAGTGCAAGGCTCTGGGTTCAATTCCCAGTGTTGCATAAACCAAACCAATAAACCCAAATCCAAACCCAAATCAAAACAGCTGCAAGATGGCCCTCTGACCTTCCCTTTTTCTTCCTGAAAAGGAGGAGAGAAAATTTCCATCTGGAAGATGCCCTCCCTGTACCAGGGTGCAAGAACATAACATTTTTAGCATGAGAGAAGTCAAAGCAGAGAAAATTCTGTGCAAACCTTGTTAAATTCTTCCTAACCACTTCACCTAATTCACTGCCTGAGCCCGAGCCCTTTTGCTCTGTCACATTTATAATTATTCTTTGTCCAACTCAGGGTGTAGGCGGTCTGACCTATGATGGCTCAAGTCATGATTTCTGAACTTTAGGTTGGTGCCGAAGTGCTGTGCATTCAGTAGAAACTGTACTTTGAATCTTGTTACATGTGATACAACACTCTTATGATGAAAAGCAGCAGCAGTGAGTGCAGCTCCCACACAGCCCCACAGTCAGGAGAGGAAATAATCTATACCCTACTGTGTGCGGTGTTGCTAAGCTAGGATATCTAGTAGGGTAGGTGTATTTTGATGCATCTTTGGCTTATGTTATTTTCAGTTTATGATGGGTTTATCTGGTCTTTGGGTCTTAATTTTTTTATGAGGGCTTCCATGGCAGGTAATGTTGTCTTTCTTTTCCTCTTCTTCCTCTTCTTATTTCTCTTCCTGCTCTCCCTCCTCCCCTTAACCTCTTCTTCCTCCTCCTCCTGCTCTTCCTTTTTAAATTTTTTGATAGGGTTTCACTGGCCTTTAACTCACTATGTAGTCCTGGCTACACGGAGATTCCTCTGCATCAGCCTCCTGAATGCTGGGATTACAAGTGTGCACCATCACCCCCAACTTTATTATCATATACATGACCTCACATACCACTTTTTTGTGTGCTGAGAACCCTTAAAATCTACTCTCTTAAAGATGTTCAGTTATTACTTAGGTATGACCATCTGTGTATACAACTTCTGAGGCTACTCTTAGTTGTGTTTTTTAATATTTAGTGAAAGAAATCAGACACAAACTTTGTCTGGCTTCTTTCATATGAAAAACCCAAATTATAATTTTTTTTGAGATAGGATCTCACATTGTAGTTTAAGGTGGCCTTGAACTCGTTATGTAGCTGGGACTGGCCTCAAACTCTTGGCAGTCTTCCTGCATCAGCCTCCTGAGTGCTGGGATTATGAAATTACCACCACGCCTGGCCTCAAATTATGATTTATAGACCAAAATACAAGATAGACAGTAGGAACCAGAGAAGTAGAACTTTTGCAATTGGGAAAGGGATCTAGAGATGGAAGGAAAAGGAGGGAAGGGGAGGGAAGGGAGAGGAAGGAGAAGTAAAAAGATGTGATATGTACATGTACCAACTTCTCACCACAAATATATTCATTACATATTACAAACATGCACTAATAAAAATAAAATGCATATAATGGAATAGCCGGTGTTGTCTTTTATTTTCCTTCCTTCCATCCTTTTCTCTTTCCCTCCCTCCCTCTTTTCCTCCCTTCCTTTTTCTTCAATACTGGGGATTGAATCCAGGCCCTTCACACATGACCTACATCCTTGGCCATTTTTATTTTTCATTTTGAGACCAGGTCTTGCTAAGTTGCCCAGGCTGAGCTCAAACCTGAGATCCTCCTGACTCAGCCCTCCAAGTATATGGACTTACAGGCATATACTGTACCATGCTGCCCAGTTTATGCTGCACTGTTTTAGTCTTTCACAGCAGATAATATATATGGCCAAGAAAAGGAGATACAAAATAAAAACACAGTGAGATCCAACAACACACCTATGAGACTCACAACATTACAATATTTTGGCAAGGATGTAGACCAGGGACAGTTCTTACTGTTGCTGGTGGGCTTCGTGGGGCAGCTGCTTGAGAAGAAGTATAGCAATACTTAGCCTAGTTGTTTGTCTTCTGGAATGGGTGCAGGATGCATTAACTCAGTAGGTCTGAGTTGCTCAACCTCGCACATTACCAAGAACAACCTATTTCTGGACTGGTTCTTCATCAGCTTCTGGGAGATGAGCTGTGAATCCTTAGAATGTTCTGTCTAAGACTGTTCTTATATGACACAAAAATTCCATTTCTGGGTATATACAAAAAGAATTGAAGCCAGGTGTGGTGGCACAAGCCTGTCATCCCAGCACTCTGGGATCCCAAGTTCGAGATCAGCCTGGGCCACTTAGCCACTTCGTGAGACTCTGTGTCAAAATAAAATAAATCAAAAAGGACCCGTGAGTGTCGCTCAATGTGAAGGTCCTGGATTCAACTGCCAGTACCTCAAAATAACATGAAACAAAACTGCCTCAAAACAAATTCTCAAAGAGATATTTACATACCCCTTCATAGCAACATTATCCCTAGTAGCCAAAAAGTGGAAGCAACTCAAGAGTCCATCAATGGATGAATGGATAGACAAAATGTAGTATCAACAGGTAATGGAATATTATTGAAACTTACAGAGGAAGAAAATTCTGATACATGCTACAACATGGTGAATTTACAGGACACGATGTTCAGTGAAATAAACCAACCACACACACACAAACAAAAACCACTGTGAAACTCCTGTAGAGCCCTAGCCTGACCTGACTGGAATCACTTTGAATCATAAGCCATATGACTGTCCCTGAGTAACCCTGGCCTGTCATCCCCTTCCCACTGCACAGTGTCCCCACATACTAAGCAGTTTACAATCTGGTGCTCTCAGTGCCAGTAATGAGGCTACTGTCTTCAATATTAATTTGAGATGAACTAGGTATGTGAAATCAGTTAGGATGGCAAAGTCATTACATTTATAAGTAGAAGACATGAACATGTATGAATACATGTACAGGAATAAACACAGTATATATGAGATTTTAGGAATCTACTTGGGGTCTTAGAATATCTTCTGTGGGTAAGGGGAACTACTGTAAGTTGTACAAGAGAATACTCTACAGCAATGAAAACAAATGATCTAAGGCTATGCCCAACTCATAGGTGAATTTTATTACTGTAATGACAAAGCAGTGTTATGTGTTTAATCCCATTTTATCTTCTTCAATGCCCTGTGTAAGAGCAGACGTCAGAGATCTCCATCAAGTATTGTTCTGGAGGTGCCACCTCCATTCATTTTGGAAAGGAGACATTCAGAACATCTTGTATGTCATCACCTACCTACCCTACACTGTCAGTAAGTTCTCTGACCCCATCTCTAGGATACATGTCCACCTCTGCCAATGCCATTCAAGTTCCAGCCATCACCATTTCTCTGTGAGTTCACATTTGCTAGGCCACCATCCATCCTTGACCTAGAAGCCAAAGGAATTTTCTAAGGACATAGAAAATTGGGAAAGCACTCCAAGTGAAAAACCTCCGCTGCTTCCCATGGGGATCAGAATGAAATCCAACAAGGCTGTGCCCGCTCCACTCTCATCTCTCCATGCTCATCTCCTCCTTTCCTTCATTCGACTCTGCTCTGGCTACGCTGCCTTTGGGGCCACACTAAGCTTGTTCTCCTCAGTGCTTAGACATATGGATATCTCTTCTTGAGATCCTCTTCCCTGACCTCAAACTTGCAATCTCTTGCCTCAGCCTCTTGAGTAGCTGGAATTATAGTGCCTGGTTTTTACTGACTTAAAAATTGAGGTAAATTCGATGACATTTAGTACATCATGACATACAACCATCCCCTCTATCAACTTCTAAAGCTAGATTTATTTTCATCACCCCAAAATAAAACTCCATATCCATTAAGAAACTAATCTCCATCTTCCAGCCCCTTCCTTTGTCTCTGTGGATTTGCTGATTTTGGACATTTTCTGTCCATGGACTCACATATGGTGTGGTCTTTCTGCATCTGGTTTCTTTCTTTTTTTTTTTTTTTTGGTACCAGGGATCGAACTCAGGACCTTGCGCTTGTGAGGCAGGTGCAGTGCCACTGAGCTAAATCATGGCCCTGCATCTGGTTTCTTTACTGAGCATTATGTTTTTTTAGGTTTCTCCAGGAGGTAAAGCTACTGATTTATAACATTCAGATCACAACTTGAATATGTAATTATCTTATTACTGTGATTTAATATTAATATGCATTAATGGAGTTCAGTGTGATATTTCCACACATGGATACAGCATGCGCTGATCAAATCCAATCACCCTTTTCCCACCCCCACACTCTTCCAAAATTCCTAAGAATCAAAGTGGTTCCTAACCATTTTTAATATTTACTTCTTATAGAGGCCTCCTTTGACTACTCTGTCAAAAGTAGACCTGTGAAATGATTTCAGTCCTTTGTTCTTTCTCGGTTTCTTTTTTAAAAAATTAGGACAAGTTTGTAGTACATAATTACACTCATCCTAGGGTGCTGGTACAGGTACATATCACACATCTCAATCCCTTTTACTTACCCCTCTTATTCCTTCCTATCCATTCCCACCATCTCCAGATCCTCTTCCATCTCCACAAAGTCTATCACCCTGTTTCCTATCATATACCTCTTATTTTGCTCTTATTTATTTATACTTTGGGTTTTTCATATAAAAGAAACTATGCAGTATTTATCCTTCTGTGTCTAATTTATTGCACTTACATTACGGTCTCAAGGTACACCAATTTTCCTACAAATGACTCAAATTTATCCTTCTTTATAGCAGAGTAGTACTTCATTGTGTATAAAGACCACATTTTCCTTATCTATGCATCAATTGATATGCATATAGGTCTCTTGCAAAATATGTTTCTCACCACCTTTAGGGACTCAGGAAGTATGGTCAGCCCTCTCTGCACCACATAGGTCCTGAATTTGGGGCATCAACCAATCTTGGATCAAAAATATTAAGAAAAATTGGGTCTTTACTGAACAGCATTATAAGTCACTTAGAGTTGATTTTAAAGTGTGAAGGAGGATATGCATAGAATATATACAAGTATTATATCATTTTATATAAGGGACTTGAGCACCCTTAGATTTTGGTATCTGAGGAGGGGGTATGTTCTGGACCAATCTCCCAAAAACAGCACTTTTGGGGTGGAGGAATCAAGTGTTTATCCTTTACCTGGCTGGTGAAGGTCATGAGGACTGCGAAACTGGACAGATGAGTGGAACAGCACACGGTGTGACTTTGGTTCACTTGTATCAGGAAGCAGCCATCCATGGACCAGTAGCCACTGTCCTCTGTGATCTTCCAGTAGACACAGATTGTCTTTTTGCTGCTGGGAATCGTCTGAAAAGAGGAGATCACTGTTTTCCTCCATAAGAGGGACAGTTCTCCATGTTGGTCCATGCCAGCGTGCCCACATGTAGACGCATGGGTTAGGAGGCACTCAGGTGAGTACTATTTAAATTTTTTTGAAAATTTTAATTGATACATTATAATTGTACATATTTATGGAGTGTACTGTGCTTTTTTGTGGTACTGGAAATTGAACCCAGGGTCTTTGCACTGAGCTACATCCCCAACCCTTTTTACTGGTTTTTATCTTGAGACAGGGACTTGTTAAGTTGCCCAGGGTTGTCTCAAACTTGTGATCATCCTGCCTCAGCTTCCTAGAGTGCTGAGATTACAGGTGTGTGTTATTATGTTTTTCTCTTCTCTTCTCTTTTCTCCCCTCTCCTCCTCCCCTCCCCTCGGCCCCCCCCCCGCCGTTTTTCATTTTTGTGATGCTGGGGATGGAACCCAGGGCCATGCACATGTTCAGCAAATACTCTACCACTGAGCTACATCCCTTGCCCACACTGTGCTTTCCTGAGATATACAAAATCAGGGCAATTAGCCTATCAATTATCTAAAACATTGTCATATGTGTTTTTGTCGTGAATACTTCAAAATCCTCACTTCTAATAATTTTGAAACACAGAATGCATTGTGTTAATTATATAACAGATTATATAACAGATGCATACTGTGGAGATGCTGTGTACTAGAAACTCTGTACCCTTTGCCATCCTGTCTCTGTCCCTAACCTCCCCACCTAATTTCTGATGATCATTATTCTACTATGGACTTCTATGAGATCAGCTTTTTCCTGCTTTATATATGAGTGAGATCATGTGGCACTTGTGCCCGGCTTATTTCACTTAGCGTAATTCATATGTTGTTTGCATTTGGATTGGAAAAGCACCCTCTCCTAATTCTTTTTTTTTTTGTACATGGGCCCTCCCCTCCC